CTCTTAAGTTTTAATTGAATTTATTTTTGTTGCATATTCTGTATATATTTGTCTATTATTCACATATTTGTAACATTTGTTTGATAAAATTGAAAGTACATGTATTACTTCGCATAGTAATCAACTCAGTAACTGTGTATCCATAAAATTATATCCTGTTTTGTTTTGTATTAGATTCTTCTATTAAACCACAATGTAATCCTGAAAACAGAAAGCCCCCACCCGTACCTCAGTCAATTGGCCACGTCCTCATGCTCTCACATTTATTGTTTGGTGAACAATACTTACACCAAAAACATGGATATTATCTTAACAACTAGTTCCACAGATTTTGCTCAAGTTAACAAACTCACCTCGGTAACAGATTGATATGATTCAATCGATGACCCCCTTAATTTAATAAAGAATTCTAGTTTAATCCAGATTATTCTTGTAGTTCGTAATTGCAGGAATATCAGTCCGATGTATCATAAATCTAATGGTCTTTAACGTCCAACTGTTCTGCTCTGACTGATGATGTATAATAGGATTTAAAAGGAATTTCCAACTCATGAGCAAATCAGTGATTCCCGATATTAACGACAATTGCTTATACTAGTAGCTGATCATAATGAATACAGGTGTATTATTACCTGAGTATACAGGTATTTTATATACGCTGTAGGTGGTATATTTATAATATGGATAATTCATACATATATATCAGTTTTCTTATTAAACGCTTCAATCGATTCACGTTTATATAAGATATTATTATAAAATTAAATTGTGGTTTAAAGTCCTTCATTTCTGCACTAGCAAGCTAATAAAGACGAGCGGTGAAGCACCATAGGTCTTCTGTCTGACGTGGAGAGCGGGCATATGTCGGAAACCGGTCGCCACATCCTACATACGACCCATGCATCTTTTCTTACTACATATTTCTGTAGCCTGTAGAATTTGTCTCTAGCTGTCTTTACTTCTGCTTCACGTTGTGTATTTACTTCTTACAGTTTCTTAAGACGTTGTCTTACCAGGAATAACAATGCGACAGTTTGCTTCTACATTTTATATATATATATATAGCTGAATACAGGTATACAAGCATAATAGATAACAATACTAGCTAAAACCATTTCTCTACCCTAGCCAGCCTCGCGGCTGTCTAGGAACTCAGATGGAAGCTCTCTGGAACCTAATAGAAGTCTGGCGAATTCTCACCAGTATCCTAATTTTGTATCTGCTGGTTTTGGACATTCAATTATCCAATTGGTCAAAAATGATGTAAATAATTATAGAGATTGGTTAATTGAGCCCAATGACGTCGACAATCCACCCTTATATGGTGGAATGGAATTTTACTGAAGAATATTCTCATGAGATATCTGTTAACATGTTGTTGACATAGAACCAGTTATGTTATGGCTCTACAAGTGTTTTTATATCACAATATGTCATTCAAACCCTAAGTTGATTTAAGTATTTTAAGTACATATCACATATTATGCGAATATGTTATTTCTCGAACAAAAATTCTACTAAAAGTATTACATTCGTCCTTTTCTTTAAGACTTTTTGCTCAGTATTGGGTAAAAGATCCCTCGAATCCTTTATAATAACCATACCAACATCTGTAGAATTATATAACTATTCATAAATGTAGCAGAAATCTAGAAAATCAACATATATCACCTCCCCCGCTTGCAAGATTTATGCTAAATGAACAGGTAGGAGACTCTTAAAACTTCTATGTACTAAACCCTATAATTATTCATGCATCAGGCAAATATAAATGATTACTATACCATAAAACAAAGCTATGAAAAAAAACCCACAAATAATCAAAAATCAAAAGTCAAAAGTTGTATGCAAAAGTTCTCCTAAAAAGTTCATCACTGTAAAATCCTATGAAAATATCCACTAAGCCTAAACGCAGAAAACACAAATGGTCTTTTTTAAATCTTCAAGTGTCCTAATTTCAAAACACTATAACACATCACATAATATTTATAAAGTTCAGGTTTCACTTTAAATTCTGTCTCAGGAAATGTCAATTTGGTAAACTGGTAAACCATTTCTTCTTCTTTGATTTGTATTGGTCTGTTTCAGCTACTATAGTATCAAGTTGAAACTTTCTCTTTTTTTTCCTTCTAAGTATGATTGGTTTGTACAATTTTATCCGTCAATCAAACATGTCATTGCCATCAGACCAAGAACTAACTATTCCTAAATCATTATTTTGATATTAGTCTAACATTATTATTTTGAAAAAGTATTTGTAAATCTTACTCTAACTTTATTTAATCATTAATAAACTTTGATGTGTCCCTTTAATTAGTTTGACCTCTTGACCTGAACTCGATCAGTAATTTTATAATTGCGTTTTCTGATTTAGAATTTCCGTTTGTGTTTTAGAATTCCGCCAAAACAATTTCATTATTATTTTATATTTCTCAGTCAGTAATGTGACCTTTTTGACCTAATCATTTATAATTTTGTATTTCGTTTTTTATAAACACTAACCACTATTACCTAAACATTTCCTATCAGACTGACACTGACACAAGCTGAGCTCACACTTATGACAATACCAGTGTTACATTTTACCTAGAATAGAACTGTCAATCAAATATTTCTCATTTTTCATAGAAAAAAATGTTTAAATAATCAGGGTCGACATTCTAGATCGAGAATTTGCGAAAATCCATATTCACTGGGAGACGCCATCTTGGATTTGTAGACTGGATACCAAACCACACCGAGACTGAATATTTTGGCAAAGCGGGTTGAAGGGGAGCCGGAGTTGATATATTGACTCTTTGAATAACAATATTGGCGATTGAGTACCTGAATAATCCACCTATGTATCCCAATCAAAACTAAATTTTTGGTAACTTTCGACACGAATTTTCATACTTTTGCAAGTTAGTTGACAACGATTTTATTTCTTATGTTGTTAGAACTGGTCAAGCTGCAAATAAATTGATTTTAATTTTTATCGCAAACCCTGCTCCAGTGAAGTTATCGCGATCTGAAGATAGTGTACATTTCAGGTATCTCCAGACACGTATCTTGTGTAGTCTCCTGACACCTATGGAAAATGAACTTGAACCGGGTGACCATGATAATGTGATAGGGTAAGACCCCGACTATCACGAACAACCAAAACCTAGTTCGCCAGGGTCATGCAACAGCGGTAGTAGTGCGACAAAAATAGCAAAAATTTGGCCTAAAAATGACAAAAATCAGCCGAAAAACGTAATCGGCCTGTATCTCGGAAACGGTTAATTTCTGAAATCGGCGATTTTGGCTGGGGAGTAGGTTAGATGGGTCGACCAAACCCTGTGAGTATGAACTTAATCTGCCAACCCCCACCTTCGAACGTCTGTCTGATATTGCATGGTTTTCTCGTGGAATGGCTCTAAAATCAACTTAGGGTTTGTATGACATATTGTGATATAAAAACACTTGTAGAGCCATAACATAACTGGTTCTATGTCAACAACATGTAAACAGATATTTCATGAGAATATTCTTTAGTAAAATTCCATTCCACCATATAAGGGTGGGTTGTCGACGTCATTGGGCTCAATTAACCAATCTCTATAATTATTTACATCATATTTGACCAATTGGATAATTGAATGTCCAAAACCAGTAGATACAAAATTAGGATACTGGTGAGAATTCGCCAGACTTCTATTAGGTTCCAGAGAGCTTACATCTGAGATCCTAGACAGCCGCGAGGCGTCAGACGTGTTATTTTGTTATTAAGCCAGAAATTTTTTTTATGAAATTATAACTGTTTTAATATATAAACTTACCACTCTTTCATTTTAAGTGCGTGAGATATGACTTCTTTGTAATATAAAACCAATAATTAGTCAAAGCCATAGTCAATATATTACGATTATTAATTTAAATAGCAAAAGTTCTACTCATCTTACTACACAGAACGGGATGAGGGGGTGGCTGAATGGTTAGCACGTGCGTGCTGTACCATAATGTCTGTCATTGAGTCAACTGGTGTGGTTTCGATTACCCGGTTGTACGTGACAAGGAGTAGGGTCGCCTGTCTAACCTCGTGGGTTTTCTCTGGGTCCTCCGGTTTCCTCCCACTGCTAAAGACCCCTATGCGCAATCGAGTTATTGAAATAGAATTAAACCATATGTTAGTCCAGAAATGACCTAGTTTGTTTCGAGTGGACGTTAAACCCCATTTCTCTCTCTCCCCCTCTCTCTCTCTCTCTCTCACTACACAGAACGATGGACCTGACAAGGAACAGTGTCTAGTCGAATGAAAAACTCGAAATAAGACTAGGTCGTAGCAATGTTGTCCGGGCACACCTTTCTTCATAGCAGAAGCTAACATATCGGTAATCAGCAAAACGTTAAACTCCATTAGATTTTCACAACTGAAGACTTACAGAAATAAAATAAGATAGATTTTTCTAAATATTTTAATTGGATTTTATATTGTATACATTTTATGTTATTGTATAATATACAAAATTTAAATAATAATAAAATATAAAATACTTATAACACCCATGAAAATGTTTAATTTAACTTGTGCTTGTACAATAACATATATTGCTGTACTATCAGATCTTCAATCTTCACGCTGTGTTTTCTTCCGTGACGAAGTTACAACTAAAGTTCAGGTTCTTTTCTTAAATATTTTATTTGAATAAACTGGAAGCATTTCACATAATTCTTTCTAGTCTCAAATAACTAAATTGCTGGTGTGACCGGCGGGGTGAGCTCCCTCGAATGCTATTTCCCCACCTCTTTTATAGGTGCCTATTCCTTTGTCTGAGGTGTTTACGTAAAAAAAACTGATGACAGCTAAGTTCCAAATATGGAATGGACATGCACCTCAATCTGGATATAGACAGGGATTATTTCCTAATTTGGTCAACAAATATGATATATGTTTTATAACAAAGAAAAATGTAAATGACCAACATGTTCATTAATCTATAACTCAGTTAATGTATCAAAATAACCAGCATATACTTTCTATATTTTTGGTTATGAACTGAGAATATATAATATGAAAGATAACAATATTGTTCTAGCCATCATATTTCTCCATTCTTTGTCGTTAGACCCCATGTCCTGTTATTGTCACAATATTTCATAAACAATTTTAATTTGCGTTTCAGAATTAACTTATACCATAGCTAAAATAATTAATCAAAACCATAATATTATTTTACATAGATGTTCCTTAGCACAAATCCCTGCCCTCCATATTACTACAATATTGTCATTAAGGGTAGCAAAAAATATGGGAAAATGGGTCCAAATTCCCCCGTTGTCTGAATACAACACGGTCTATGCGATATTTAATACAGTTTATCTACATAATCAAGCAGAAATGGCGTCGTGAAATGATATAGGCCTAGAGAGGCGATATTCACCTCTAGTAAATAATACTTTTAACACCGGAATTATTGAGGAGAAAATAAATAATTCAAAATGGTTTTGTAAATACACAAATTAAACTCCTCACAGAAACACTCATGATTAAAAATATGGTAGATTGCAAACTTTCATTTCAAACTTTCATTTCTACTCCTATGTAACAAAAATAGCACCTGGAATTCTTAGATTAAAAAAATCCCAGACAAATTGGTGTCGACTTGTCTCCTATCCCAGTATTGAGCTTTATATTATTATCATGAAAACATGGATAAACTCAGTGAGATATTGTTAATGACTTTCCCCACAGAAGCCTCTAAACGTCTTTCTTTTAGAAATTGAAATTGTGTATCACTTTTTACAAAACTTTGCAAAATTTTCGTCGTCCTTTGGATTTTTTCTTTTGTAAAGCTGCACGGGTTGCTGTTTCAAAGACTTCTCTTACTCCTTCCTTGGTTCGCGCTGAGCATTCCAGATATGAAAAAGCGTGAATTTTTTCTGCCATCGCAAGGCCCTCGTTTGTGGAAACGGGTTTGAACTTTGGTTCGGATAATTCTTTACTGGTTGCTGGATCATTTCTTAAATCTTTTTTGTTTCCTACTAAAATAAATGGAACGTTTGGACAGAAATGTTGAACTTCCGGGTTCCATTTTTCTGAAATATTTTCCAAACTGTCTGGATTGTGAATAGAAAAACACATGAGTATGACGTCAGTATCTGGATAAGACAAGGGACGTAACCGATCATAAGCTTCCTGTCCAGATGTATCCCATAATGCCAACTGCACCTGTAATTATAAGAATGATTAGTTAAGAAACTTTGTTGTAAATTGACAGATTCTATTAGTGATCAATAAAGATGGCACACAAATATAGACCTACTGCTGGCCTAGAATTTATCTGACAATACCGGTTCAATTTGACCGATAATTTGTCCATACCGGTCTTAAGTGATCTCTGGAATGTACATTTAATGCTGGCTTCCCACTGTCTTGCGATGCGTTACGGTGACAATACCGGTTCAATTTGACCGATATTTTATCCATACCGGTCTTTTGTGATCTCTGGAATGTACAACTAATGCTAGGTTCCCACTTTCGTACGATGCGTCACGACAGATTGTCCCTATTGAGTCCACGATCTGATACGTTTCGATATAATTAACTGGCTTCATCATCTCAATATATGATAAGACCAGATAGGATCGCCATAATTATAAGAGCTGCAACACTTTGTTATCGAATTGCACGAGCTGCAAAGTTTTGTAGTCGGGTAAACAATCGGAGAGCTTCTACGTTTTGTAGTATCTAAAGAGTCAGGATAACGCATTCCACAGATACCCCGGGGGGGGGGGGGGGCGTCATGGGAAGTTGGACTGAGCTGAGAGATTTGGTACACGATCTATTTAAGGACTGGACGATCTTACTATAAATGGAGTCGGTATCTATGATACTAGACAACGAACAGCGTCCTCGTGTTCCATGTAAAGTTAAATCAAAAGGCTGGATAATCTGTATTTTTTAAAGGGGCATTATGGGAGATTAGATAAAGAGCTGGCAGTTCTCACTATAATAGTTAAAAACAACTGGGATAATGTAAAGGGAATTTACGGAAAATTTCAGTCAAATCGATCCACTCTGAACCGAGATATTAGCTTTTGATATTTAGGCTTAACCTCGATCATCATTACTAAAGTCGGTATGATAAAAACATTGCCTCGGTTATCCATTTTTGGATTTAATCATCAATGAGCGTTGAGCAGCAGATCGGATTAAAATTCAGTAAATATCGCAGGCTAGCGATGACACCAGGAGTTGATTATAGTCTGGATAAGTTAATTAATGTCTAATTAAACATACATTATGCAAGAGCTAATTATGTATATTGCAGGTCTTTCTTTAGGCCTGAAATGTTATCTAAATTATTAATGAGACATTAATTAACCTATCCAGACCATAATCAACTCTAGATGGCATCGCTAGCCTGCGATCTGTAGTGGATTATGAGCCGATTTACTGCATAACACTTTCCTTCACGATTTAACGATTAATTGAATAATCGAGACTATGCTGTTTATCGTACTGACTTTAGTAGTGAAGAACGAGGCTAGGCGGAAATTTCATTCGCTTAGTTCTGGGTTCATAGTGGATCAATTTGAATGAAATTTTCAGCAAATTGCCTTTATGTTATCTAGTTTTTAACTATTATAATGAGAACTGCCAACTCGATCGGTATCGAATCTCCCATAATGTATCTTTAATAGTTTATATAATATTTCAGGCCTACTGAAAGACCTGCAATAGGCCGATTTAGCTCTTGCATAATGTATGTTTAAGGACAGTGTGTTTAATGTTGATTGGCATCCACATTTCAAACAATGACACTGTTTAACATTGCCAACATTTTCTATCCAACCAAGTTAAATGATTCATCTTGTATGATTTGTCACTGGGTGTATTCCAGCTTTTATTCCTTTTAGTGTATTATGGCAAGCTGTTGTCAGATAGAGCAAATATCTACCTGCCAAGAATTCGATTTAATGTCAGCTGAACTAGACACGGAACCAACAAATAAACCGATAGCTATGGTGGTCAAACCCCTCCAGCCTAGAGCTAGAAATTATGGTATGACGTTCATTTAATGTGAATTACACTTAGATGTGAAGATGTCTAGGCTAAAGGGAAACAGAGAGAGAGAGAGACATGGGGTTTAAGGTCCACTCGACACAAACTAGGTCATTTCGGGACTAACTTATGGTTCAATTTTATTTCAATAATTCGCTTGCACGTAGTGGTTTTTAGCAGTTGGAGGAAACCGGGAGACCCGGAGAAAACCCACGAGGTTGGACAGGCGACCCTACTTCTTGTCACGTACAACCGGGGAATCAAAACCGCGCCAGTTGACTCAATGGCAGAACTTATGATGCAACGCGCACGCGCTAGCTATTCGGCCACCCACCGTCCCTACCCCTTCGGCAAAAGGTGACAGCTGTGATGGCCACCAATCAGTCAGGTAAACTCACCAGGTACCTAGAAGACAGAGCGGACAACCTGTACTATTTCCTTAGCACCTCCAACCTAAAAATGAATTTGTGTATCCAGTTCTTATATTTATAGGGATAGGGTTAGGGTTGGGGAACTATGTTTTACTTACCGATCTGTTGTCCACTTCAATATCAGCAACGTAGTTCTCAAAGATAGTTGGTACATAAAATTCTGGGAACACATCTCTACAGAAGACGATTAATAGACATGTTTTACCACATTCGCCATCACCCACTATAACTAACTTCTTTCTGGTGTCACTCGCCATTTTAATACTTCAAAATCTGGAACATAAACGGAAACATTGAAATTATGCCCAATATTTGTACATGTCCGCCCGTGAGTATACAAACCAAGGTAGAACCAAGAATTGCTGCTGCAGTAGAGTTCGCTGTTGTGAACAGTTCCCGAAAATGGCGTAAACGGATATAGCAGGTGTGGTCACACTTGCTCGGCCTGAGAGTGGTGGTCACGTGTTGAACCTCGCTGTCGGTACCTATCCCAAAGGCGAGAGATGGTACTCTGGGAACCATTCAGCAGTCTTGATACATGTATCTGGGATTCGCCTGCTTGTAACCGACGATAGCGTTGTTGCGTTGGTCTTCATTCAGACGTGGCACCACTTGTCTAGTTGAGTGCCTACATGTGCAACTGATTTTGAAACCGAGAACCACGGGATTTTTAAGGCCTTAGTTTTGGTTTTCATGCGAAAAGCGCGCAATGTTGATAAACCCATGCGTCTTGGTGCAATCAAGCGAAAACAGATTTCGACAAAAAGTATGACCAGTCACAAATAGTGACTCTATATATAAAACCAATAATGAATTTCTTGTATCCTTACATAATGACATTAAAAACAAGTAAGATTTATGGAAATGAAATGAAATGGGGTTTAACGTCCTACTGTTCTGACGATTTATGGAAGCAACGATCCCCTTCAAATACAAAACGATGAAAAATGGACTATGCGTTTCTTTTCATGAAGAGTATATATAATATATTCCATTGATAATTATAGTGTGTAACTCACTGGATTAATATAACATTAATTAATTAATTGATTCATACACCATTTATCAGATATATACTGTTCATTAATAGTAGGACACATATAATCCATTCCATTAATAATTATAGTATTTAAATCACTGGATTAATATAACATTGATTAATTATTATTATTATTATTATTATTGTTCGATTTATATAGCGCTTCATTACACATGAGTATTTATAAGCGCATTCACAACAAAACAGTTCAAAAACATTTTTGAAATAAGTATGTTTTTAAGTTAGTCTAAAGCTCTGGGCGGAAAAGGACTCTCGACGAGTTTTTGGAAGATCATTCCACATTTTAGCTGCTCTGACGGAGAAAGCATATTCACCAGAACGCTTATTATATTTGGGGATCCTCAATATGCTACGATCACTTGAAGAACGAAGGTTGGATCGCCGGTGAGAATAGAAATCAAAGAGTTCTTTTAAATAACTGGGTGCGGTGTCAGAATAAATTGATTTAAACACATTCACAAGAGCTTTAAATTGAACCCTCGCTCGAATTGGAAGCCAATGGAGTTTCTGTAACTTAGCTGATATATGATCAAATTTTCGTGTTTTAGTTATAAGACGTGCAGCATTGTTTTGCGCTATTTGTAGTCTGTTTAAAGCTGTTTCTGGTTCTCCTAATAGAAGAGAATTTGCATAGTCCATGTGCGATGTTACTAATGCTCTAACAACACTCTGGCAAGCATCAGTATTAAGATTAGAGCGTATTCTCGAAATAGCTCTCATTTGATGATGCATTTTCCGTATGATACTATTGATTTGGGGAACTGGGGACATAAATTCATCAGTAACATAGCCCAGATTTTTAGCCTGCTTCTTGTGAGATATAGAGCAATCACCGATCTGATTGGAATCCGCTTTAAACAATTTAAGTTTTAGCCTATTTCTGGTCATCCATCCCCGAATGTCATTAAGACAAGACTCAAGTCTACTGATAGAATCCTTGGAAGCAAGATAGTTGGTTTGTTGAAAATAGTCATATATTTGGGTGTCATCAGCAAAGCCGTGGTTTTGTACCCCATGTCTTCTTAGGATTTGACCAATCGGAAGAATGTATAGAAGAAAAGTATAGGTCCCAATACAGATCCTTGTGGAACACCTATCCTAACAGCACAGGGTTGAGACACAGACCTGTTTATTTGCACCTTTTGTGTTCTATCTTGAAGATATGACTTTATCCATGACAGTGCGGCACCACAGATCCCAACCGAACATTCCAGCCTTTGAAATAAAATACTATCTTCTATAGTATCAAAAGCAGCACTGAGGTCCAAAAGTACTAAGTGTACGGCTAGATTCCTATCCAGTGCCAGGTCAATATCGTTTTTAATTTTAAGTAGAGCCGTCTCTGTGCTGTGGCCGCGTTTGTAAGCAGATTGAAATGATTCGTGTAAATCGTTTTCAGACAGATAATTTGAAATTTGAGAAGCAATAACTCTTTCAATAACCTTAACGATGAATGGTAAGTTGGAAACAGGTCGGTAATTCTTAGACAGCTGAGGATCAAGGTTTGGTTTCTTCAACAAAGGTGAGACCAGAGCTGACTTTAAGCATACAGGAACAGTACTAGTGGTTATAGAATCATTAACAATGCTAGTAATGATTGGAAGCAGAACCTCCAATACTTTCTCCCCTTTCAGAAGCCAGGTTGGGAGAGGATCAGAATTACATGTAGCAGATTTACTCTTAAGTATAATCTTCTTGACCTGTTCTTCAGAAACAGTAGCAAATAAATTTAGATTGCACTCTAACGACGGCGGTGGTTCATCGACCTCCGAATCGGAGTCAACCAGACTATCTAGTCCTTTCCTAATATCAGATACTATAGTTTGGAAACAAGAACAAAACCTCTCGGCAAGCCCAAGTTCATCAGTTGATGATGGAAGCCGTTGGGTTGTATCGGATGTAAGTGACTGGTCAATTTTAAATAAATCACGTGGTTGTGAAGATGATTGCTGGTGTCGACAGTGCCACAGATACACACGGCTGTCAATTCAAGGAATTGGTCCACATTTTATGACTGGACCTACATGGTGATAACCCATCACATGTCCTGGCCACAACCTAGATCTTATTGTAACTGACCCAAAGCTCAGTTATCATTCTGCTGTCGACTTTATCGATTAAACCACTGAATACTTCATCATCTTCATGTGGAATTAGAAAATTCAGAAATATCAATAAAGATAAATCCAAGGAGGAGGTAATAACTCTACCCATCTCACCCATAGAACTCTCGAAGAACTTGTCAATAATTATAATCCGCTCATTGAAAACATTGTCGAAGTCCATGAAGACAAGAAGAATAGTTGCAAAACCCCTGGTTCTGTGATACAATTCGGGATACCAGGAAAGTCAGGAGAAAAGTTGAACGCACCTGGATGAGGATAGGTTTATCTGTTCACAAACAAATGAAATAAAACTGGTTGCTTAGTTGGTTGAATTTAAAACAACGGTGTATTACAATGCTAAAGTCGTCGCCTGCGCCAAATCAAAAGAAATTATTTAATTTATCAAATGAGTCCCTGAACTCAAAGAAAGAACAAATTCTACCAGATCATGAATCTCCATCCAATCTTGCCGATAAATATGCGACATATTTTAATCAAAAAATTGCGCGTATTAGAGATAACATCATCACGAAGACCTCCCTTATTGATCAAATTCATACATCCATTATACATCTGCTAGCAGGATTTATACCATACAGCTTACAGGAACTTAAAACTGTGGTGCTTAAAACCAAGTCTTGCCAGATAGACTAACTTCCAACATGGCTTCTAAAAGACAAATTGGATGACTTCCTACCAATCCTTTTAATTGTTGTCAACAAGTCGCTTCTAGGCGGTGTCTTGCAAGTGCCCTGAAGCAAGTCATAATCACATCCCTAATTAAGGAACCACCCTTAGATGCCGATCTGCTAAAGAACTACAGGCCTGTGAGCAACCTGAGCTACATATCAAAACTCATTAAGAAATGTGTGCTACCCCGTCTAACCTGCATATTAGTCAGGGTGTTCTTGATAATCCTCTTCAATCCGCTTGCAAACAATTCCATAGTACGGAAACTGTGCTTATAAAAATTGTGGATGACATCCACAGGTGCATTGATCAACAACAGAGTGTATTGCTTATTTTGCTGGACCTATCTGCAGCAATTGATACTCTCGATCTTACTTAACCAACAGAAGGTAAGCTGTGTGCATTAATGGGGCTTCTTTTCGGAATCACCCAAACACTTACATATAAATTACAAAGAATCCTCCCGTCTTCATTAGCCCAGTTCGGAGCAAAACAGTAGGACGTTAAACCCCATTTCATTTCATTTCACAAAGAATCCAGAACATCGCTGCCAGGATTGTAACAATTCGGTGTTAAAGCCCCTTCACTGGTTGCCTGTCGAACCCCGGTTTCGGTATAAAGTTCTCTCATTAGTATATCAATCCCGAATTTATCCTGTGTGCATTATGTTTTTCGCATTTTATTATTTAAAACAAGGTCGGTAATTGAGGTCTGACATAGTTTAACAAATAATTTGCCGAATTTTACTTGTGTTAATACTTCAACCATGAGAGTCTAAAAATGATTTGGTGCAGTTTATATACCAAATGGCAATAAACACGAAACCCATTCTGGATAAACATGCGAGCCGATTTTGGGAGAAAAAAAGTTTTGTATTTGTGCAAAAATTGTTCAGTTTATTTATTGTTCGTATCCTGTTCCATTTCCAGTAAATCTTCATTTCCTCAAACAGAGCAGTCACGATCCGTTTTAAACGAACATGTTGGCTAGTATTTTACTCACTGGTAACCGAACCGAACATGTTCGCTAGTATTTTACTCACTATAAACTTTACAATTTTCATATTTACTTCTATGTTATTATCCGAGTTGTCAGTTGTTCCACATGGCGTATTCACACATGTGGAGTGCATTATTAGAAGTCAACGTATACTATATCTATCATATCTTTTACAAAACTGGCAAAAAAATAATATGTGTGTAAATCTAATATACTTTACTGTTCAGTTGTAATAAAAATACACGTCACTTACTTTATTGACACACGCTTCAATATGATTATAATGGCGACCTTACTGTTTAAAATATTTCCCTGTAAATCATGACTATGTAATTCAAGTGTAGGTGGGGGGGTCTCCTCCCTAACTTTGAGGGATACCCTATAGCATCACGACCACAAAAAATGTTGCAGACTAGGTAGTGCAGTACTGCTACGTACATTAGTATCATCAGACAGTGTTGATACAACATTATATAACAAATGTAGTAGTATCATAGACTAGATTAAGACAGTATTGATACAACAGTATTTAAAAAAAACATGTGGTAGCATCATAGACTAGATTATTTAAGACAGTGTTGACACAATGTTATTTAACAACATTAACAAATCATAGAGATAAATACCATACATGTACGTTAAAGTATATCTTTGAATACTAAACAAGATTAATTATATACACCAGGATTATAATACAATGTTACAAAACCCCAGATGTTAAACAATAGTACAGCTATTCGTCGTATTGCTCACAGTACAATAATGCCCCCCCCCCCCCCCTCTTGACTAACCAGGTCTATTATATACAATGTTATAAAACCCCAGATATTACCTTTTCTTGATCTGTCAAACAATAGTTCAACTAATTGTCGTACCACTCACAGAACAATATTGCCAACCCTCTTGACAAACCATCTGAAAAAGCCAGATATGTATATGTGACAATTTATAGTAAGGGCAAACCCTATTTCTATTTTTAACCTGTATTAATGATGCAATATAATTTAGAAATTTAAAGTTTATACCTGTCATATATATTATTTTAAATCTTACTCTACACATGTATTATACTGTATTTAACTTCTTTTATTTCTCTGTCGCCTGTCTAACCTCGTGAATTTTCTTCTGGGCCCGATTCCTAGAAAATTCTTAAGCACGTTCTTGTGCTTAGATTTAAGTAGACTTTGCATTTAAGTAAACTTACCTTATTTTGTGTTCCCAGAAAATTCTTAAGAACGTTCTTGTGCTTAGATATTAGGTAGACTTCATTGTAAGCACAACAACGTTATTATGCTTTCCAAGAAAAAAATTAATCACAACTTCGTTCTTAAACATAGTCAATCTAAGCACAAGTCCCCAGAGGCGTAGGAGCTCAAAGTAATTCAGGGGGGCATAAGAGAAAATTGCCCGAAATCAATACCGTTTTTTCGGGCATACATATCATAAGAGAGCTTCGGGCATATTTTCGGACATGCAGTGGACAAGAAAAAGACGAGAAAATACTTTTCGGGCAGTGTGGATCTCATAGAAATAAGTTAGTTATATTTTTTCTCTAAACGTTAATAGAAAAAAAAGGTCGTCGAATTTTTCATTTCCCGAAAATAAATTTTTTGGGGGGCAAATGCCCCCCCTGTCCCCCTTGCCCCCCCTGTCCCCCTTGCCCCCCCCCCCCCGGCTCCTACGCCTATGGGATCGAACCCTGGAACTTAGTGATCAAACGCCTTATCCACTGAGCAAGCGTGGCTCCCATGTTTCTTTAAACCCTTAAACTAAGGTACACCCCATATTTCATTCAACTAGGAAATTCTTATATCCATCAAGTTATCTGGGTCATATTCTTTTATAGTTAATCAAAGTGCATAATGAAGGTGCTAAAACCAATATTGATTTTAGACATTAAACAAATAAAAAACGAATCTGAAGGGGTATATAAGTAAAACTCTTAGTAATAGAAATATGTCTGTCATTCTGACATTGAAATACATATCAATTATCTGATTTGGACTCACAGTCAAGTTTGTCAGATTAAATTAAGAGATTAGATAAATAAGGTAGGGTATAACTTTATATTATATATAAATTTATATGGTATGACTTTATATTATATATAAATATACATGGTATGACTTTATATTATATATAAATTTATATGGTATGACTTTATATTATATATGGTATGACTTTATATTATATATAAATATACATGGTATGACTTTATATTATATATAAATTTATATGGTATGACTTTATATTATATATAAATATATATTGTATAACTTTAATATTACAAATATATATGGTATAACTTTAATATTACAGATATATATGGTATAACTTTAATGTTACAGATATATATGATATGACTTGAAATTACAAATATATATGTTATAACTTTATATCACAAATATATATAGTATAACTTTAATATTACAAATATATGTGATATAACTTTAATATTACAAATATATATAGATTTGTTATAACTTTAATATTACAAATATATATGGTATAACTTTAATATTTCAAATATATGTCGTATAACTTTAATATTTCAAATATATGTTATACCTTTAATATTTCAAATATATGTTATAACTTTAATATTACAAATATATATAGTATAACTTTAATATTACAAATATATATGGTATAAAACTAATATTACAAATATATATGGTATAAAACTAATATTACAAATATATATGGTATAAAACTAATATTACAAATTAGGTTTACAAGTAAGAGGTTACATTTTGTGTTTCATTGTGTGTCAAAACGGCTGACTTGCTTTTTATTATGTTCTTGCTAGCGCTCCGTACAAAATAAAACCCCGTCTTAAAACATTCACTTGGCATATGATAATAGACCCCCAACCCTTGTAGTTCAAGAGAAATGATCCCTAATTAATCGTTCACGTGAAGCGATAACTAACTATATAGTCCCAAGCAAGGTATACGGCTTGCTTACCAACCTTAAGTCTGTTTCTGCTTCAAAAAGATGGCTGACCGTAGAGTTATTAGACGGCATTTCCGACACCTTTTGATACCAAAGAGACAATTACAAGACAGAGAAAATCCTTCTCCAGAAGAAATTTCAAATTAAGAATGCTATAGAAAATTTCGCCTCTAGGCCTACCCTGAAAGCATTTTATTTATTTGCCAATTAATAAACAATAGGCTACAAACACACAGGCTACTTTAAGATCAGGCGCTCTCACAATTATTCAGTTAGTTTGTATGTGTCTGCGTTTTTTATCTTGTGGCACATTTTATATGTGAATAGGGGACATGTCAAATGCATCGAAATGATGAACCCTATATATATATATATATATCCAAAATTATTAGCACACCCGCAAAGCTGCACTACTTTGTTTCACGGTAAATGATGAAAAGATAAAAAAAAGGTATGCCGACACAAACTGATTTCAGCACTGGTTTAATAACATTTTAACATTTTAAAGTACTTTTCGTCCGTCTTGGGACTATTCATAAATAATGTCATTGTATAAAGATGGACAGTATAGTATATTTATACATATTTACATAGTAACACTGTGGTTTTAATTGGCTATAGTTACCATTGTCTATGGTTACATAGTATATCGTTAACTAATAGAAACATGTACACACATGTGTTAATCTGTAGTATATGGGGTTCAATTTATGAACAATGAGTTTAAGATAATCATGGGATAGATTTAAGAAAATTAATGAAGCTAATGGCCAATTGTTACTTATTGACTATTAAGTCGAGGAACATATTTTTTAATAAAATGGTTTTCCATTAATTTCCTTTTCGTGGTGTCATCGACTTTCATTTTATAAAAAGGGAAAATTTGGAATTTTACTTGTAGGTGTTGTGCACATTTAAAAATATGTCTATTTACAAATAAGGGCCCATTTTCAATATTACAATCCCGTCGATGGTTGCGTACTCTATCCCGTAGATGCGTGGACGTCTCCCCTATGTAAAAATTTAGACACCCATTGCAAGTCAAGACATATATGAGATTTTTTGTGTCACAATTCATATTGTCGTTGACACTAAATGTAAACGTAAGAAAATTATATTTGCTATTTGGCGTAATATGGTCGCAACATTTACATCGAAGATCCGGGCATTTAGATACATAAAAGCCGGTCCTTGTGATAGATGAATTGAATTTTGCTTTGGTTAGGAGACGCTTCAGATTAGGTGGCTGTCTTTGTGATTTAATGAATTGAACCTTATCAAATTTAATTCTGAGGTTGTCGTTTGATGCCAGGATTGCCCTACTCTCGTACATTGTTTTAAAGAAGTTGGGATGTTGGGGGTTATGAGTATATATATATATGACGTCAATGATGCAGACGACAAATTTAAGACATAATTCGCATACCAAAGTTGTTTTTATGACGTTAAAGAGCATCGTAGTCTCAGTTTATGGTAAACTTTACTAGTCACAATGATGTGCTTAGACTTATACTTGACTTGTGCTTTCGTAAGAATGGTCTTGAGAATTTTCTCGGACTTAGCTGATATGGTTCTCTATCACTCAAGAACTATTGTGGTTCGGTTGTCCGACTCGCCACGGAACATTTCCAACCACGAGAACGAAACTGAAGCTGCTACTACGATCCTTCCGCACCTATTGACAGTGTAGTGATCTTTTACCCGAGAGCTGAAATATGCTTACTCTGAATCGTGTATCATATTTAACATTCCATTACCATATTATATTCATATAAGATGATTTATTCTGTGTAAATTGTAATGGACATTCATGAAACTTGCCCCTTGTCTATACATGCTTTAGACGGTTTCCTCAGACTGCTAAAGACCCCTACGCGCAAGCGAATTATTGAAATAAAATTAAACCATATGTTAGTCCCTAAATGACCTAGTTTGTGTCGAGTGGACGTTAAACCCCATCTCTCTCCCTCCCTCTCTCTCTCTCTCTCTCTCTCTCTCTATCTCTCTCTCTTAACTCAATAAACAAAACTACACTGATCAACAGTGAATATTCGCTAGACCGCCCGCCGAAATCGCCGATAGGGTTGACATCGGTGCGGCTTAAAGGGCACGCAATATTAACCTTTTTTTCCCTCTGTAAATTAAATTCTAGAATATAACATTTTTTTAAGTATTAGAAAAAATAAATAAAAGTGTTCGAAATATATCTAGATGAAACATATTTCCTATTTAGTGTAAATGGGTGTATAAAATGAATCAAAAGGGCATCATTCTGCCCGGCCAGGGCAGCGGCACTATCGCCTAAATTTTTATATAGAATTCCAACTGCCAAGGGATCTTTTACGTGCATTCCTTGGTTTTTCGTCTCACCACTGACAAGGGAAACCACATCGGAAAATCCCGATGAACTTTCTCGAACATCCGACCTCCAGGCTAGCGATCCAGCGTCTTAACCACCTAGCCACGTGATCCCACTCCAGGCTAGCGAGCCAGCGTCTTAACCACCTAGCCACCGTGGCTCCCGAATACAATAGGATTTCGTCACTGATAATTACTTTGTTGATATTTTCAGATGGCATTTAGAAGGCACCGTATGGGTGCCCAGGAGGCAGAGATTATCAGAAGGAATTTTACCTATTTGCAAAACCATGTGGTAGCTAATGAATTAACAGGCTATCTGTTGTCACAATCTGTTTTTAACTTCGAAGATAAAAATATAACTAATGGGATCCCGGAGCAAAACATACAAATGGACAAGTTTCTGAATATTTTATTACACCGGGGCAACAGAGCTTTTGGTTGTTTCATTAAAGCTCTTAAAAAGTATTCATATTTCGAGGTGGCAAGCCATTTACAAGCCGAATTGAATACAAAATTTCAATCAAATAGGAGACCAATTCAATCAAATAATAGATCATTGCAATCCAACAATACTCCAAGACGACCAGTTCCACCATCCACCAACGAGCGCGAAG